TTCCATATATATATGTTAATATACGATATTTGTTTTTCTCTTTTTGACTTACTTCACTCTGTATGACAGGTTCTAGGTTCACTCACCTCACTAGAACTACTCAAATCTGTTTCTCTTTATGGCTGAGTAATAGTCCATTGTATATATGTACCACATCTTCTTTATCCATTCGTCTGTCAATGGACGTCTAGGCGGCTTCCATTTCCTGGCTATTGCAAATAGTGCTACAATGAACACAGGGTACATGTGTCTTTTTCAATCATGATTTTCTCAGTGTATAGACCCAGTAGTAGTTCAGTCGGTAAAGAATCTGCCTGCAGTGCAGGAGACCCAGACTCGATCCCTGGGTTGGGAACACCCCCTGAGAGAAGGAAACGGCAACCTACTCCAGCATCCTTGCCTGGAAAATCTCATGGACAGAGGAGCCTGTTGGGCTGTAGCCCATGGGGTCAAAAAGAGTTGGGCACAAGTGAGCGACTAACACTTACTTACTTATACCCAGTAGTAAAATTGCTGGGTCATATGGTAGTTTTATTCCTAGTTTTTAAAGGAATCTCCATAAGGGACTGTATCAACTTACATTCCCATCAATAGTGGAAGAGGGTTCCCTTTTCTCCACATCCTCTCTACCATTTACTGTTTGCAGATTTTTTTGATGATGGCCACTCTGGCTGGTGCGAGGTGATACTTCATTGTACTTTTGATTTGCATTTCTCTAATAATGAGTGATGTTGAGTAATTTCTATGTTTTTAACAGGAAGATTCATACACATGATTGAAAATACAAAACACACAAGTATATAATATATGTAATAAGACATCTTTTACCATCTTCCACCTTCATTCATTTCACTAACTTCTCAGCAAGCTCTAGCCAACTAGTACCCTTCTACAAAGGCAGCCAATGTCATTAGTTCCTTGTGCACTTTTCAGGTATATTTAATGTATCACAAGCAAATGTGAATACATATCTCCGCCTTTCTAACAAACAGGTGTGCTATACCTTCTTAATTTCATTTGAAGTATGTCATTGAGCTCATTGCTTATTAGTATATAAACAGCTTATTCATGCTTCATCCTATTTCAATAGCTATATATTATTTTATAGTATGAATATACCACAATTTACTGAACTGATAAGACATGAAAATTATTTCCAGTCTTGTTCTTAAAAATGCTGCTATGACAAATTAATGTAATATATCATTCTACATGTGTACAAAATACATCTAAGAAATAAGGTCTTAAAAGCAGAATTTCTGGGCCAATTTTGCTATATTTAGCTAACACGATGTGACTGTTTTAAATACTCAACAATTAAGAGTCTAGGGACTTCCCTAGCAGTCCAGTGGTGAGTCCACCTTGCAAGGCAGAAGATTTGGGCTGGATCCCTGGTTAGGGAACTGAGATCCCCACAAGCTATGGGGCAACTATGCCCATGCACCACAACTAGAGAAGCCTGCATATCACAGTAAAAGATCCCGGGTGCCACAACTAGGACTCAATGCAGCCAAATAAATAAATAGAATCTAGACATCCCCGGACTAACCTGTCCTATGCTCTGGTTTGACATCACCTCTCTATCTTAGTCTTCAGCTTCACTCTCTCACAGATCTTGCCCTAGCAGCACCATCACCATTAAACAAACATCTCCTGATGAGAATTCCCTGGCAGTCCGGTAGTTAGGACTCCATGCTTCCACTCCTGAGGGCTCAGGTTCACTCCCTGGTCAGGGAACTAAGATTCCCCAAGCTGCACAGCATGGCCAAAAACAAACCAAAAATCAATCAACAAACAAAACAAAAAAAACAAACAAAAGCAATCTCTTGAGTGCCAGGTATTGTTCTAGGTAGGGGGTCTAGCAGCAAAGAAAACAGACAAATATCCCTCCTTTCATAGGACTCTCTAGTAGGAGTTCACTCTGTGGGTCTCTAGGAAAGGGACAGATAAACACACAACATCAGGAAGTACATTAGAAAGTTATCTGGGCTGAGGAGGAAAACTAGCTAAAGAGAGAAAGGAAATATGAAGGCCTGAGAAGGAAGACAGGAAATCAGGGCAGGTTTATATCTGCAGGCAGAATGATCTAGGAAAATCAAGAGGAAAGTCCCGTGTCAGGACAGTGAGTGCCCTACCGCAGTAAGAGATAGGAAGCTAGTGTGGCTGTAAGAAGCGAGGAAGGAGGAGAGAATGAAAGACGAGGCAGGCGCGCGTGGCGCTGCGGGAGGAAAAGTGGGCGCTGGACAGAGTGGAACCGGCCGCACCGTGCGTGTGGGGCTGAACCGGGGCAGGGGCCCCAGCAGAGACACGGTCAGCGCAGGCAGGGCGTGAGGGGGCGCTCTTCAGGAACTGAAAGAGTAACAGGCTAGGCGAGTGGAGCTGGGGCAGAGGACAGAAACCCACTGCCACAAAGGTAACATGAGAACGGAAAAGAGCCTGCCTCTGTCCTGAACAACAAAGTCCACATAATCCAGTGACCGGTGGACAGGAATTGGAAAGCCACGTTATAATGCATCTAAGTTATCAATTTTTCATCTGCATAGGTCATAATTTTAACTGCTGTAATTATAAACAACCTTTTATAAAAAGTATTTTAACAATCAATTTTGCCTGTTAAGGTTTATATCCTGGTTAGAGACTTGGTTTTTAAAGATTATTCTACTGCAGTCACATTATTCATTGCCAAACAGCCATCTGTTTTGCCTTTTAGTACTAAATTTTTAATCCTCACACTCATTTCACTAAGAACTTTCTTGGGGGTGGCATTGGAGATAGTAGTGACTGTCATTATTTTGATGGAAGTGCAGTAGACACTAGGTTGGCTGTAATTGATTTCAGTATCTCTTTACAAAGAAATTAATCAGCACAATTCCTTCAGTCTTCAAAGCAACTATAAAGAGAATATTCAGTTCAGTTCAGTCCCTGTCATGTCCGACTCTTTGCAACCCCGTGGACTGTAGCACGCCAGGCTTCCCTGTCCATCACCAACTCCCAGAGCTTGTTCAAACTCATGCCCATTGAGTCGGTGATGGCATCCAACCTTCTCATCCTCTGTCGTTCCCTTCTCCTCCTGCCTTCAATCCCTCCCAGCAACAGGGTCTGTTCCAGTGAGTCAGTTCTTCACATCAGGTGGCCAAAGTATTGGAGTTTCAGCTTCAGGAACTGTGCTAATCCATTCCAAAATCTGATTAACCATTCTTCCTTTGATTCTGCTAGCTTTCCAATCCCCTTTAATAAATTCCCTTTTTGCTGAAATCAGTCACAACTGAATCCCATTGTTTGTATAACCATTATGTTGAACACATAGGCTTCCCCAAATTAAATCATGAAATAGCTTTGTGTTTCATGAGGCTAGATTTTCTCTGGCCCCTGCACACATAGTACATAAGTTAACACAGTGCCTCAGAAGTCAAACATTCTGGGCTCAAGTTCTAATCCTATGTCCTACTAGTTACTTCTCTTTGTCTTAGTTTTCTTATGCAGAATAAAAACATCTACCTCACTGGGTCACTGTGAAACTTAAAGGACTTCCCAAATGCCTGGCATGTATAATAGTAAGTCCTGAAAAATGTTAATTAAGCTGATGCAGTGATGGTCTGGTGATGGTCCTGTCACTGTCTTTATTTCTCACAACCCATCACCTTAAGCCCTGACTTCTTATTTCCGTACCTGTCTTCATGCTCTCTCTTTTTCTGAATCCTTCAAGACACAACTGAATGAAGCACCACCACTTCCACAATGCCCGCACTGATCTACAAAGCCCACAGTAACTTCATACTTCACTTACAGGAATCATAATCTAGAGAAGACACATGAGTCTTAATTCTGTATCATTCTAGTATTTTTTAACTGTACCTGTGTGTAAATCATGACTACCCAACAAGAAAAGTGTTCCTTGAAGGCAAGAATGACATTTCATATTATTTTATGTCCTCCATATTACTTACCCCAGAGTAAGGCTCATAGTAAGCTCTTAATAATAAAGTTTTAAACTGTCCTCTGAGAAGTTAAAAATATTTCCAATCATAATTACTTGAGTTTGTATAGCTTCAAGCCATTAGGCCAACGTTTTAGCATATACGCTGCCAAAGTGAGCACAGGCCGTTGTTTTTATCGCGTGTAAGAGTGCACAAAAAGACAGGGACAGAACTTTCTGTTTTCTTCACACACCAGCCCAGACACACTGGGCATCCAATAAATGTCATTAACTGTCTACAACAAAGCTGAAAGTTTCAGGAGCTGAAAATCAATCCCAACGATGACAGGAAATTCCAAACACGTCTATTACTATTAACATTGAAAACTATAGAGCTGAAAGGTCCTGCTTTGTTTAAAACTTTAAAACTTGGGAGATGAGGGAAATAGATAAACACTTCTTTCTCTTGAAATATACTTTTGTTCCCATAAAAACTGTTGATGAAGGAAAAAGTAGGAAAGGTAATTACTGTTTCTTTTCATTGTCATGTTTCTGGAGTGATTATTATTTTTTTTTTTTTGGAACTCTGCATAATACAAAGTACCCCACCTTCTTTCTCTGATTTCTCTAACCATGTGCAAAAGTATGCACAGAAATAAAAACTTTTCCCACTGATGCCCAAGAGTATATCATTTACATATGAAAAGATGGCACTGTTTCAGAGCTTTGTGGGCAGGATTTTCATCATGTGTAAGACTCAGCTGGGAAAGAGAAGCTGAGTAAGCCGAGCCTCAACTCCACGTGAAACTGTCTGAGAAATGGAGATGTATAAATTGACTCACTTAGCTGACTCTGGAATAAGCTTATATTACATCTAAATAACACCTTTTCAAAATTCTGTACTTCTCGGCTTACGTTGTTTAACAAACACAATTATTTCAAAGTTTAGAAAAAATTCTTTTTTCTAAATGCTATCCACTACAAATTTTTCAACCAGACTAACTCTTAATTGTTTCCTTTCTACAGGAACACTCTAGAAAAGAAAGAAAAGGAAAAGAGGGGAAAAAAAAACCACACATCTTACTTGGATTGTGCAAGACAGCCGGGTACAACCACATTCTGACTCTCCTCCTCAGCCTGGAGTGCAGTGAGCTCCACCATGTTAACCATCACATCACTGGTGTGGCCTGGAAGCTGGGGAAGCACCGCGAGGATCTTCTCCACCAAGTTATCTCCATGATGTCCTACAGCCCCTATTTAAACAGACAAGAAAATATGAACTCACAAAATGGGAGGAAAAAGAAGCTGTTACAGAAATCAGTAACACAATGCTGACATTTTTCCCTTGGTAACACTAATCAGGTTCACAATTACCTAGACAATGTATGTCTTGTGTGTCGGACTTAACGGTCCCTGAGGGCAGGCGCTATGTCTGTCTGGTTACTGCTATATTCCCAGCACTTGGCACAGTGCCTACACATGGAAGGCATCAACAGGCATTTAGTGAATAAAAATAGTCATAGACCTACATTTGGTAGGTCAGGTAAATGGTGACATAAGATGACACTATCCTGAAATTTTCGAGCCAGAAAGATTTTCTTAATTTTACTGATGAAGACTTTAAGACTTAGAAGGACTTAGTGACCTGACCAAGAATAGCAGATCTCCCCTTTGTGAGAGGCTTATCTTCATAATGGCAGCTGTTTACCTAGTCCATTCTATACATAAAGGCAACTTGGCAGCTGGTAGGTTTACTAATTATTTGTTAGATGAAACAAAGAACAAATGAATGAATGGAAAAAGTTTGTACTGATAGAAGGATTTATAGAGCATTTTCTATTTACCAGGTACTGCTCCAGGTGTTTTACATATATTAACTCCTTTAATAACAAATGAATTAATAAGCTCAAATAAAAATCATGACCAATTACACAGCTTAATGCTTTTCCAAAAGGCCAAGTTATCTTTCCGAAAGTCGTCAATGCTTGAAAGATACCATTTCAACAAACAGCTGTTGTTGCTGTTCAGTTGCTGTCATGCCCAGCTCTTCTGACCCCGTGGACTGCAGCACAACACCCTTCCCTGTCCTCTACTATCTCCCGGAGTTTGCTCAAACTCATACCCATTGTGTCGGTGATGCCATTCAACCATCTTGTCCTCTGTTGCCTCCTTCTCCTTTTGCCTTCAACCCTTCCCAGCATCAGGGTCTTTTCCAACGAGTTGGCTCTTTGCATCAGGTAGCCAAAGTACTGGAGTTTCAGCTTCAGCATCAGCTCTTCCAATGAATATTCAGGGATGCTTTCCTTTAGGATTGACTGCTTTGATCTCCTTGCAGCCCACGGAACTCTCAAGAGTCTTTTCCAGCACCACAGTTCAAAAGCATCAATTCTTCGGCAATCAGCTTTCTTTATGGTCCAAATCTCACTTCTGTACATGACTATTGGAAAAACCATAGCTTCTACTATGTGGACCTGTGTCAGCAAAATGATGTCGCTGCTTTTGGAAATGCTAAGTTTGTCATAGCTTTTCTTTCAAGGAGCAAGCATCTTTTAATTTCATCATGGCTGCAGTCAACATCTGCAGTGATTTTGGAGCCTTAGAACATAAAATTTGCCACTGCTTCCAATCTTTCCCAATCTTCTGATCTATTTGCCATGAAATGATGAGACTGGATGCCATGATCTTATTTTTTTGAATGTTGAGTTTTAAGCAAGTTTTTTCACTCTCTTCTTTCACCCTCATCAAGAGGCTCTTTGGTTTCTCTTCACTTTCTGCCATTAGAATGGCAACAACGGATGTGACTGGCCAAATCAACTTGTTCTGATCTCACTCACTTCAAATCAATTAATATTTGACTTCCTAATGTCTTTCTATCTGTATCTCTCTATTGTATTTTCCATGTCATATTAATTTGGGCAGAAAAACTAGGCAGAAAAAACTAAACCAGAAATTCAAGGAATCACAGTCATCACCCTCATCATCTTCATCAGAATAGCTAATATTTATTGAGACCTGGTCAAAGAGGAGATGGAAATGGTCAAACAGGAGATGGCAAGAGTGAACGTCGACATTCTAGGAATCAGAGAACTAAAATGGACTGGAATGGGTGAATTTAACTCAGATGACCATTATGTCTACTACTGTGGCAAGAATCCCTTAGAAGAAATGGAGTAGCCATCATAGTCAACAAAAGAATCCAAAATACAGTACTTGGACGCAATCTCAAAAATGACATAATGATCTCTGTTCGTTTCCAAGGCAAACCATTCAATATCACAGTAATCCAAGTCTATGCCCCAACCAGTAATGCTGAAGAAGCTGAAG